GAGAAAGCAAGTTGCCAGGTCTGGGACTCGAACCACAGTCAGCCACATGGGAATCCAGTGCCTTTTCTCACCATGCCACCTGCCAGCCCTACAAAAATTTCTTAAAATAAAAAAAAGGGGGGGAGCCGGCAGGTGGCATGATGGTTAAGGGCATGGACTCCCACACGGCCATCCATGGTTGGGGTTCCAGACCTGGTGGCTTGCTTTCTCACCTTCCATCTCTCTCACTCTGTCCCTATCTAGTCAGATTAAAATGAAAAAATAAAATAATTTAAAAAAACAAGAGGCCTCTCGGTAAGTGTGGTGCCGTTAGCAACGTCAGGAAACTTGGCCCTGACACGGACCTGCTATCTAATCTAAGGTCCATACTCCAGTTTCACCCGGATGGTGATCACAACCTTCCCCTCTCGGTCACCTTCCCTCCCAGGATCACACAGGGGACTTTACCACCCTGTCCCTTCGGTCCTCCCTTGTCTTTCAGAACCCTGACTTTTTGGTTTTTTTTAAGTTTTTCACCATAAGGTGTGTGCACTTGCCAGAGAAAGACAGTGAGAGAGAAAATGAGAAAGCATCTCTCATGGGGGATGGCCGCACCACAATCCCTTCTCTTCCATTTTCCTCTCGGGATGTTGGACACTCACACACATGCCCCTGGTGGGATTTTCAGACAGCTGTGTCTGGGACTCAAACCATGGTCAGCCATGTGGGAGTCCAGTGCCTTAACCACCGTGCCACCTGCTGGCCCCACGACACGGACATCTTTGAAATTTACATACCAGTTATCTGTCAAACGTCCTTCACTTTGCATGTGCCTGGTGTTTCTTTCCTATTAGGCTCTTTTTATACTTTTTTTAAAAAATAATTATTTATTTAATCCAGGCGCGTGTGCGTGCATGCCCAAGATCCCAAGAGGAGAATGGAGGAGAAGGGATTGCATCTCCCCCTGGGGGGTGATTTCTCGCTTTCTGTCTCTCTGTCTCTCTCTGTCTGTCTGGCGAGCGCACGTGCCCTATGGCAGAACCCTCTCCAAAAAAAAAGAAAGAATTATTTATTTTTTTCCATTTGTTATTATTATTACTCCATGTGACCAGACAGAGACAGAGAGAAAGGGAAAGCGTGAAAGCAAGTCACCAGGTCCAGGACTTGAACCACGGTCAGCCATGTGGGAATCCAGCACCTTTAACCACCATGCCATCTGCCAGCCCCGCTCTTATTATACTTATCAAGAAATAATTATTTAATTTTATTCATTTATTTTAATTTTTTGGAGAGATTTTTGCTACAGGGTGAGTGCGCTTCCAGAGAGACAGAGAGAGACAGAGAGACAGAAAGTGAGAAATCGCCCCCCAGGGAGGATGGTCACGCCGCAATGCCTTCTCCTCTCTTCTCCTCTCAGGATCTTGGGCATGCACCCACACGCGCCCAGCGTGAGTTTAAGCCACTGAGTCCGGGACTCGAACCACGGTCAACTACGTGGGAGTCCAGCGACATAGCCAATTATGCCAACTGCTGGTCCCTCATTTATTTTAATTTGACCAGAGAGACACATGCAGAGAAAGAGAGAGAAAGTGAGAAAGCAAGCCACCAGGTTCAGGACACAAACCATGGTCGGTCAGCCATGTGGGAGTCCAGCGCCCTTAACCACCACGCCCCCTGCTGGCCCCTATTATTATTATTTTTAAATTTGCTATAGGGCATGTGCACCATTCATTCTGATTTTTTTTTTTGGAGAGATTTTTAAAAAATTATTTATTTTATTTTATTTATTCATTTATTTATCTTTTTATTGGACCAGAGAGAGACAGAGACAGAGGGTGAGAGTAAGAGAGAGAGGAAGTGAGAAAGCAAGCCACCAGATTCAGGACTCAAACCCTGGTCGGCCATGTGGGAGTGTCCAGAGCCTTAACCACCACGCCACCTGCTGGTCCCTGGAGAGATTTTTGTTAAAAGATGCCTGTGATCGCCAGAGAGAAACAGACAGACGGAAAGCGAGAAATCATCCCCTGAGGGAGGATGGCCGCACTGCAATCCCTTCTCCTCCATTCTCCTCTCGGGACTTTGGGCATGCACATTCATGCATCTGGTGAGATTACCAAGCCATCAGGTCCAGGGCTTGAAACACAGGGGACCTCATATGAGAATCCAGTGCTTTAGCCCCTGTGCCACCTCCTGGCCCCAAATACCCTTTTTCTTATTGGGAGGAAAAAAAAAAAACCTGCACCATTTCCTAGGTATATTCTGATTTGCCAATAGAATAGGGGAACTAACACTGAGTCCTAATTAAGCAATTAAGTTAAAGTCTTTTCAAAGATGTGTCTGGAGAAGTTTTGGGGTTTATGGTTTACATAACTGAATTTAAACACCATAGATAATTTAAACTGTCTACTGTGATCATTAGTCATTCTTGATAATACATTCATGTAAATGAACATAAACATGAAGCCACCTTCATGTAAACAAATAACTAAATAACAAAGATGTCTTTATTTTATATAAGTCTCAATACATTCTTTTGCAAGTTTTATTTTTTATTCATGATAGACGTATACACATGCAAGAGGAGAGACAGAGAAACACCCTGGACAGGGTCTCATCCCATGCCAGGGTGAGATGCCACCATCCACCCACCTCCAGTTCCTCAGGACTCTGGCAGGTGTACCCATGCCTGCAGTGCAGACGGAAAGCGAGAAATCATCCCCTGAGGGAGGATGGCCGCACTGCAATCCCTTCTCCTCCATTCTCCTCTCGGGACTTTGGGCATGCATGCACATGTGCCTGGTGTGAGTTTCGAGTCACCAGGTTTGGGACTTGAACCACAGTCGACTCCGTGGGAATCCAGCAAGGTAACCATTCATTATACCATCTGCTGGTTCTCAGTGAGATCATTTTAACCTTCATTCATCCTTCAATTGCAGGATAATCAGTCCTGCGATGGGGGAAGCCCATGGGCCTAGAAGAGCCCAGAAGAGGGACGGATCAATCCCAAAGTCGGTGGATTCCCAGAAGTGATCCAGACAAATAACTTACGGACCAGGTGACCCAGGCCTTGGAAGGAGCGTGAAAAATGCACTCTGGCCTCCGTTCTCCTGAGACAAGCCCGTGAGCGCTCTGGGGCCAGTCATGCAATACCCTGTCCAGGGGACAGATTCCGCAGCTCTTAGTGGCTGGCCACGTCCTTTCCTGACACCCTCTGCTAACATCTGGGTCATTGCAAAGGTCGGTTCTGGGGCAGGGACCGGGGAGGCCTGTGTCTGGAAGGATGAGTCAGAATCCGAGCTGAAGCTGGGGAATGGATCGGGCGTTCTCTGTTCTTTGCATCTAGACAGTTCCTCTGAGCCTGGGAACTTAGGAACTGTAGGCTGTTTGCCCTGCCGTTGCCAAGGAGATGACAATCACTCCGGCCGTGCACACTCACTCACCTTTGCACCATCACACACTTATATGACCGTGGTTCGTGGTTCATCCTCAGGGCACGAGGGACGTTGCTTCCCTTATTTTATTTTTTTAATGCTACAGAGTTCATGACTTCACTGGGTTCCTTCCCCTCTTCGGGGGGCAGAGTTACACCATAACTCTTTCTTCTCTGTGTATCTGCCCTGGTGGGATTTGGGGTAAACACACGCACACACACACACACACACACATGCCTGGAGTGTTTCTCAAACTGCTGGTTCTAAGACTCAAACAGCACAGTGGGATCCTCTGCCTCAACGATAAAGCCAAAGAACCAGCCCATAAACGTTTGCATTTAAACAAATGGTAAGAGCAGGGATCAGCAGTTAGTGTAATGGCTATGTCGCTGAACTCCCACGTAGTCAACCGCAGTTCGAGTCCCGGACCCGGTGGCTTAAAACTCATGCCGGGCGCATGTGCGTGCGTGCCCAAGATCCTGAGAGGAGAATGGAGGAGAAGGGATTGCGGCGTGGCCATCCCCCCGGGGGGGTGATTTCTCGCTTTCTGTCTCTCTGTCTCTGTCTGGCAAGTGCACGCGCCCTATAGCAAAAACCTCTCAAAAAAAAAAAGGTACGAGGAGAGCCAGCCATATGGTGTGGTGGTGAAGTGGCTGGATTCCAGGTGACCAATGGCACGGTTCAAGTCTCAGACACGGTAGCTTGAAAAGCACACCGGGCACATATGTGCCCAAAATCCTACGAGGAGAATGGAAGAGAGGGGACTGAGGTGTGGCCATGCTCCATGGTGGGAGGTGATTTCTCACTTTCCTTCTCTCTCTCTCTTTTTTTTTTTTGAGAATTTTTAAATTTTGGGGCCGGCAGGCGGTGTGGAGGTTAAAGGCATTGGATACTCACATGGCCTACCGTAGTTTGAGTCCCAGACCTGGCGGCTTGCTTTCTCCCTTTCCCTTTCTCCTTCTCTCTGATCAAATTAAGAAATAATAACAACAAATGAAATGAAATAACTCAATAATTACTTAGAAAAAAATTTTAATTTTAATTTTATTCATCATTATTATTACTGCTATTTTAAAATTTGACCAGAGAGAGAGGGAAAGTGAGAATGTAAACTATCAGGTCTGAGACTTGAACCATGGTCAGCCATGTGGGAGTGTCCAGCGCCTTCACCAGCACACCACCTGCTGGTCCCCTGATTTTTAATTCCTTTTTTAAGGTTTCTCAACTTTCTATACGAAACATAGTATTTTTTTTTAAATGTAGAAATTATTTTTATAAGAAAAAGAAAAGCCTAGAGACGCCTTCCTCGCAGCCCCAAAGAAAATGCGTTCTCTGCTGGTATTGTGGCCGACACCCGCCAGTCCCTCGGGTTTAGCATGGAGTGATGCGCCCCTGGTGGTTGATCCGGGAGCAGCCATGGAGGCCGCTCGGCGTGGTGCGTCTCCCTGCGGGGACCGCTCAGGGAGAGCGGGCAGGATCGGCCTCCCGGCAGCCGCGCGCCCTCTGTCGGCGGCTGCTGAGGCCAGGGGCGTCTCAACTGAGCTGTCCCAAGACTCGGAGGAGCTTAGGGCAAGCTCATTTATTTAACAGCAATTCATTCATTCATCATTTATCTGTGGTCCACTAGGCCCAGGAGCTGACGCACAAACGAGAGAAGTAAGGAAAATATAGAGGATGTTGCATGGCGATAAATTCTAAGAGAAAAATAAGTCCAAGGGGCCGGCAGGTAGCGTGGTGGTTAAGGCAAAAGACTCCCACATGACCAATCATAGTTCAAGTCCCAGACCTGGTGGCTTGCTTTCTTACTTTCCCTTCTCTCTCTCCGGTCAAATCAAAAAGTAAATAATCATAACAGGGGCTGGCAGGTGGCATGGTGGTTAAGGACACAGGACTCTCACATGGCTGACTGTGGCTCAAGTCCCGGACCCGGCAGCTTGCTTTCTCACTTTCTCTCACTTTCTCTCTCACTCTGTCCCTCTCTGGTCAAATGAAAATAAATAAATAGATAAATAAATAAGGATCAGCAGTTGGTTTAATGGCTATGTTGCTGGATTCCCATGTAGTCAACCACGGTTCGAGTCCCAGACCCAGTGGCTTAAAAGTGTGCATGCGTGCCCAAGATCCCGAGAGGAGAATGGAGGAGAAGGGAGTGCGGCGTGGCCGTCCCCCTGGGGGGTGATTTTTCACTGCTTTCTGTCTCTATGTCGCTCTCTGTCTTTCTGGGCCAGCGCACGTGCCCTATAACAAAAATCCTCTCCAAAAAAAAAAAAAATTCCAAAAAAAAAAAGAAAGAGGATGTGAAACCCCAGAGCTCTTGGCCCTGCCTGGTGAGTGCTGTAACTTGTTCGAAGTTGGGGGTGGTACAGAAGGGCAGTGGGGAGGCCTGGGGTGAGGTGCATGCCAGAGATGGTGGGGTCTTCAATTATTAGAGGTGAGAGACCGGGATACATTTCAGATCCACGGGATCAGCAGATGGTGTAATGGCTACGGCGCTCGGCCTCCATGTAGTCAAGCAGGGTTTCAGACCCGGTAGCTTAAACTCACGCCAGGTGCGTGTGCGTGCGTGCCCAAGATCCTGAGAGGAGAATGGAGGAGAAGAGATTGCGACATGATCATCCCCCTGGGGGGTGATTTCTCGCTCTCTGTCTCTCTGTCTCTCTCTCTCTATCTGTCCAGCAAGCACATGTGCCCTATAGCAAAAATCTCTCTCTCAAAAAAATGTTCAGATCCAGAACTATTTCAGTGATAAAACCAAGACGGGAATCAGGCAGGTTTGGGCCCGAGGAGGGGCATGGAGGGTAAGACGGCAGGGTGGGTACAGAGGCCTCCATTCAAGGCCCCAACGGGGTGTTCAGTCGGTGGCATGAGTGTGGAGGGGCCCGGGAAGGCTCTCTGGGGCATTCCAGACCAGGGCGAGGGCTGCCCTGAGTGTCTGGGAGGCCCTCGAAATGGCAAAGAGGCTGAGAGTGGCTCCCGAGGACTCCACACGCATTTTTCCTCCCTCTTTTCTCCTGTGACTTAAGCCGCTGCCTGGGACAGGGTGGGGCAGAAGGGCCACATTTTCTTTCTTTTTTTAAAGGTTTTTGCAGTGGTCAAAACTAAGCAGTATCTGCTTCTTTTTTTTTTTTTTTTTTTTTTTTGCAATAGGGCGCATGCGCTCGCCAGACATGGCCTGGCTTCCAGACAGAAAGCAAGAAATCCCTCCCAGGGGGGATGGCCACACTGCAATCCCTTCTCCATTCTCCTCTCAGGATCTTGGGCATGTATGTACATGCACCTGGTGTGAGTTTAAGCCACCGGGTCTGGGACTTGAACTGCAGTTGACTTCATGGGAGTCCAGCGACATAGCCATTACCCTATTTGCTGGTCTCGTCTGCTTTTATTTTTCCCCATCTGCTTTTTTTTTTAAGAGATTTTTGCTATAGGGCATGTGTGCTCACTGGAGAGACAGAAAGTGAGAAAGCACCCCCCAGGGGTGATGGCCATGCCTCAATTCCTTCTCCTCAGTCTCCTCTTGGGATTTTGGGCATAGCACACACACTCACCTGGTGTGTTTCAAGCTGCCGGGTCCAGAGACTCAAAACCGTGGTGGGAGTTCAACTATGTGGGAGTTCTTGCTTTCCCCCCTCTCTCTGTCTCTGCTCAAATTAATAATAATAAATAAAATAATTCTTTAAAAAATTTTAAGAACTATTTTTTATTCTATTTTATGTATCTATTTAAATTTGACCCAAAAGGGACAGAGAGAGGAGAGAGAGAGAGAAAGGGAAAGTGAGAAAGCAAGCCGCCAAGTCTGGGGCTTGAACTGCGATCCACCACGTGAGAGCCTAGCTCCTTGACCAGCACGCCACCTGCCGGCCAGCGTAGTGAGGAAAACAGATGGCAAACAAGTACCAGATTAATAAAGAGGGATTTTTAAAAATTTTTTATTTATTCATTCATTTATTTTAATTTGACTAGAGAGAGACAGAGAAAGAGGGAGAGAAAGTGGGAAAGCTAGCCACCAGGTCCAGGACTTGAACCGTGATCTGCCATATGGGAGGAGTGTCCAGCACCTTAACCACCACACCATCTGCTGGTCGGATTTTGTACGGCTGTGGAGGGTGGGAACACAGGCTGTGGTAGGGGAAGGGCGTCAGCGAACGTGGGTAGGGAAGAACGGGTCAGGAGGTGGAACAGCATGTGCGAAGGGCCTGCAGAGGAAAAGACTCGGGGTCCTCCTACCTGCACCCAGACTAGGGAAATAAGGGCCAGTCACACACATCCTACAGGGCTACTCTGCTCAGAGTCTTCCCATGGCTTCCTAGTGTCCTGTGGAACACATCCGAACTCCTTAGCTCTAAGCTGGGAACTGCAGACAGCAGCCTCGGGGGTAGGAATACCACCCCGACTTAGAAGCCTGTCACTCTAAGCCCCGCCCTTAACCACGCCCCCGAGCTACAGGCCCCGCCCAATAAACCCACCCCGCTTCACCATTGGACAGTTCTGAGGGCTTCAGGCGCGGGTTAGCTGGCGTGGCTGTCAGTAAGGAGCCAGGCCTAGATAACCGGACCCCGCGCTTCGAGGGGGCGGGCTCGGGTGCGGGCGCGGCTGGGGCTGCGGCTTCAGGTACAACGCCAGTTTGCAGTGACATCCCAGGGCATTCCGGGGGGTGGATCGGGGACGCACCGGAGCGTGCGCTGCGCTTCCAGCCCCTCTGCGGGCTCCGTGCGCTGCGACGGGGCGGGCGCTGTGTCCTCCAGCAGGGACCCTTTCCACACTGGGAGCCTCAGGTGGGTAATGAGCTGGGCGGGGGCTGGGTGGAGGCTCCGGATTTGGGATCGCCCGGCTCTCGCATTGCAGGAGTCAGATGTGGGGCTTATTTTCTCCCTCGAGCCCCAACCGGCTCTGGGACCCTTTCCCAGCGTCACTCGGGATGGCTCGGGGACCCTGGTTCAGCCCCCTCGCTCTGATCTGGACGCGTGTGGGGGGCGACACGGAAACGGTGTCAAGGGGAGGGACGGAGGGCCCCCGGACCCGTGGACAATGGGTAACGGATGGGACCGCCCGGCGGCGTTTCCTGCAGGAAATTGCTCTGTCTTTGCTGTGGGGCCGACCTGGAGGGGAGTGTGTGTGTGGGGGGGTTGACCTGAGCATCCCCCTCCTACCGTCATCAGCACTCCCCGCCCCCCCAGAGAGGTGACAGCCCCCCAACATTAGAGGGGTGCCACCACCTAGGGCTTCAAGTCAGGAAGGAGCCCCCTCCCCAGGTTGGGGATCCGCACCGGTCCCCGCGTACCCCACCCCTCGGGTTTCGTAATCTCGGATCCGCATCCCAAAATAGTCCCTGGGCGGGAGTGAGGGCGTATAGCTCTGACGGCCTAATGAAGGGGTCTCAGGCTGGGGATCCGCATGGAGCCGTGACAGCCAGGGTGTGGAGGAGAGGGGAGGGCAGCTCCGCGCCCCCACTGCCAGGAGGCTGCAGGCCCTCCGCACGGGGACGCGCGGGGTGACATAGCTGCAGCTGGCCAAACCCCTTCGAGCTCATAGCCCCTTCCAGGTAGGGGCGATATTATTTAAGAAATCATAAAAGTTAACTGGGGGCCAGAGTGGTATGGTGGTTAAGGCAGCTGGGCTCCCACATGGCTGAACTTAGTTCGAATCCCGGACTCGGTGACTCAAAAATCAAACCGAGCAGGTATGCCTCTTGCAGGAGCAGAATGGAGGAGAAGGGATTGCACTGTGGCCATTCCCCCTGCGGGGTGAATTCTCACTTTCCCTATCTTTGTCTTTCTCCAATGAGCACGTGTGCCCTATGGCAAGAAAAAAAAAATAGCATCCATAAATTGTTCAGAACAGACTGGCCCATAGCGAATACCCGAAGGCAGTTACTGTCTTCACCATTCCAAGGGCGTCACTCAGCCCAGCCTCTGGGTCCACCTGCCCCAGATGGCTGACGTCTTCGGGACAACCCACAGCAGTTTTCTGCCTTCCCAGGGCCTCAGATTCGGGTGTGCCCAGGTCACCGAAGGAGGCTCCTGACCCCACTGAGTCACACAGCCAGCTGTGGAAGAGGCAGGCCTGGGCCCCTAAGCCCGGGTCCAGGCCTTTTCCGCAGCCTGTTCTTCCTGCCAGTTTCCGGCAAACAAGTCCTGCGAGGCACGGGCTGTTCTCGGTGGTGACCCGCTGCCCTAATGCGCAGCCGGTGTACGGGGACGGGAAACAGCTGCTTGGGGCTTGGGAGGAGCCCCGCCTGGCCTGGCGCTGGAGTGCAGAGGGATGTCAGGAACCCAGGTTGGACGGAGGTGCGGAGCCCGAGGGGGTCCCCCTAGCGGTGGAATAGGGGGATGAGTCAGGCCGGCTGATGGTGAGCAGTGTCTGCTGGTGCTAGGTACCTGGCAGGTGTCAGAAATGCAGGGGGCCAGAAGGGGTGGCCGGGAGGGGTCCATGTGATCGACACAGTCGGGCAATGGGTCGGGGGGAGGCTGTATTGAGTCTCCAGGTGCAAATCAAGAGCTGGACAGGGGGAACCGGAAGATGGCATAATGGTTACATTGCTGGACTCCCACATAGTTGACCATGGTTCAAGTCCCGGACCCAGTAGCGTAAAACTCATGCTGGGCACGTGCGCGTGCGTCCCCAAAATCCTGAGAGGAGAATGGAGGGAAGGGATTGTGGCATGGCCATCCCCCAGGGGGCAATTTCTCATTTTCTATCTCTCTGTCTAGTTCTGGCATAGTAAGGTTTTTGTTGCATGTGATGCTTACTGTTCTCTAGTACTCATCAGAATGAGAGAGCATCCTCCAAAGGTACGGGAGCACTTAAGACATGGCTGACCACGGTTCAAGTCCTGGACCTGGTGGCTTGCTTTCTCACCTTCTCTCTCTCTGTCTGTCTGTGTGTGTGTCTCTCTGGTCAAATGAAAAATGAATGAGTGAATAAATAAAGTTAAATAAATTATTTTAAAAATAATTCAATAACACTATTTTTTTTAAAACCTCTCTAATAAAGAGCTGGACAAGAGAAGGACAATGAAGCATTTTTTAAAATATTTATTTATTCATTCATTCATTTTAATTTGACCAGAGAGAGACACAGAGAGAGGAGAGAGGAAAGTGAGAAAGCAAGCCAACAGGTCTAGGATTTGAACCGCGGTCAGCCATGTGGGAGTGTCCAGCGCCTTAACCACCACGCCACCTGCTGGTCCCGAGAATGAAGCATTTTAGGTGGGCAGAGTCAAGTCTGAGGGCATCTCTCACAGACAATTGACTTAGTTTCTCCCTGCCTCCGTTGTTCTGTCTGTAAATTGTGGGTGATGATTGGGACCTTGGAGGGCTGTACGGGGCTACGTTTAATCAGGCACAGCCCACAGAAGGCATTCGATAGAAGTGCTTTCCCCTCCCTGTAGCTCTTCCACGTGGGCTTCCCGAAACCCTGTCAGTATTTTATGGATCAAAGTTCTGCATATTTGACCTTGTTAAGTAGCACGTTATTCGATGTGGCCTAGTTGCCTCACTTCCTTTTCTTCTCATTAAAAAAATATTTTGGGGGACCAGCAGTTAGTATAATGACTATGTCGCTGGACTCCCATGTACTTGACTGTGGTTCGAGTCTTGGATCCGGTGGCTTAAACTCATGCTGGGTGTGTGTACGTGCATGCCCAAGATCCCGAGAGGAGAATGGAGGAGAAGGGATTGCAGCATGGCCATCCCCCCTGGAGGGGGGGTGATTTCTCACTTTCTGTCTCTCTGTCTCTCTCTGTCTGGTGAGCGCATTTCTCTAAGGGGAAAAAAAAAAAAGCTTCAAAACTCCTGTTCCTTTTTTATTTTTTTAGTCTTTGCTATAGGGTGTGTGCACTCACTAGAGAGAGAGGGAAAGTGAGAAACATCCTCTCCCCTGGGGGATGGCCACACCACCATCCCTCTCAATTCTCCTCTCAGGATTTTGGGCACACACACACACACACATGTGTTCTGTTGTTGGTGTGTTTTTTTTTTTTTTTTTTTTTTTTGAGAGGTTTTTTTGCTATAGAGCGCATGAGCTTGCCAGAAGGAAGGAGAAAGACAGAAAGCGAGAAATCACCCCCCAGGGGGGATGGCCACGCCGCAATCCCTTCTCCTCCATTCTCCTCTTGGGATCTTGGGCACGCACACACACACACCAGCGTGAGTTTAAGCTACCGGGTCTGGGATCTGAACTGCAGTTGACTACGTGGGAGTCCAGCGACATAGCCATTACGCCCTCTGCTGGTCCCAAGGTGTGATTTTTTTTTTAAGCTGCTGGGTCCAAGACTTTGTAGGATTCAGTATCTTAACCTCCATGCAACTTGCTGGCCTGCACCTGGTGTGTTTTTTAAGCTGCTAGGTCCGGGACTTGAACTGCACCAGGACATTGGCTGGCCCTCGTGGCATCTTGAGGGAGAAGGAGCGCGAGGACATGTGTGTGGGGAGGAAAGGGGTGAGTGGAGGAAAAATCTTGGATCTGTTTACTCACCCAGGCCAGTTCCAGAGGTTCGAGCCAGAGGGACAGCTCCTCGCCCCTCCCTCACCACTTCTCGGCGTTTTTCAGGGTGTGTCCAGCGGCTACTCCGGGAAACATGGCCAAGTTTGCCCTGAACCAGAACCTCCCCGGTGAGTGTGCAAAAAGGGATGCGTGTGTGTGCAGATTCACACTTAGTGCCCGTGTGCGTGGACAATGCCATGATCTTGGGGCACCCAGTTCAGGTGAGATGAGATCTCAAGCCCCCGTGGTGGCCCTTGGGGCCCCTGCTCATTATTCAGCTCCTCTCCCCACCCTCTTCCTTCACTCTCCTGGGGACACCCTGGCCTTCACCCCACGGGGACTACAGCTGGCTCTGGTCACTCCCACCCCAGGGTCTGTGCATTTCTGTTTGTTTGTTTGTTTCCTGGGACCTTCCGGTCCCCTGTGGCTTTCTCCCTACCCTGCAGGGCTCAGCTTACATTTCCCTCCAAGAGAGAAACCTTCCATTACAACCAGAGCCAAAGTCATGCCCCTTCAGTTATTTTTCTTTTTTAAAAGAATTATTTTGTTAGTTACATCTATGTATGTATGTCTGTTTGTTAGACCAGAGAGGGACAAAGTGAGGGAGAGAGAGGGAGTAAAAAAACAAGCCGCCAGGTCTGGGAATCGAACTGAAGTCAGCCATGTGGGAATCCAGAGCCCTTAACCACCATGCCAGCTGCTGGCCCCGCTCCTTCAGTTATTGTCTGTTTCTATGAGCTCCTGTTTTTTATTTTTATGTATTTACTTTTTAGAGGTTTTTTTTTTTTTTTTTTTTTTTTTGAGAGGTTTTTGCTATAGGGCGCCTGTGCTCACCACTTCAGAGACAGAGAGAGAGAGAGAAAGAAATCGAGAAATCACCTCCCTGGAGGGATGGCCACGCTGCAATCCCTTCTCCTCCATTCTCCTCTCAGAATCTTAGGCACGCACGCACACGCGCCTGGCGTGGGTTTAAGCCACCGGGTCCAGGACTCGAACCACAATGGACTACAGGGGAGTCCAGCAACATAGCCATTACACCAACTGCTGGTCCCCTTTTTAGAGAGCTTTTTGCCATAGGGTGTAAGAGAGATAGAAAGCAAGAAATCACCTCTCAGGGAGGATAGCCACCCTGCAAGCCCTTCTCCTCCATTCTCCTCCCGGGATTTTGGGCAAGCACACCTGCGCAGCGTGAGTTTTAAGCACCCGGATCCGGGACTCGAACTGTGGTAAACTGCATGGGAGTCCAGCGACATAACCACTACGCCACCTGCGGGTCCCCAGCTGTTTTTATTGCCCTAGCACCGTTAGGAAAGATTGCCTTTATCGATCCCCTACAAGGGGGCAGGATGTTCGTCTTGTTCAGCGCCTAGCACACAGTAGGGTGACTGCATGAGTGTTTGGATGCAGATAGGTGCGTCCGCAGCAGGTGTAGGTGCGGCCCTGCAGGTGCGTGGTGGGGCGGTGGGGGACACGCTGTCTGGTCTTCCTGGAATCTCCATGACCTGACGCAACCCTCACCCCGCACCCCGTCCTGCCCACAGACCTGGGCGGCCCTCGCCTGTGCCCAGGCCCCACTGGGGGCGCCCGCAGCCCCAGCTCGCCCTACTCAGTGGAGACACCCTATGGCTTCCACCTGGACCTGGACTTCCTCAAGTACGTGGAAGAGCTGGAGCGCGGCTCCGTCGCCCGTCGCGTCCCGGGACCCGCACCCGCGCGCCGTCCCCGCGCGCCCCGGTCCGG